GCCCCGGGGCCCCCTGCTCCCCGGAGGCAGGGGCGTGAACAGCATGGCCGCCAGCTCGCTGTCCACATCTGCCAGCTTCTGTGCCTGGACCACGTTTTTCACCCCTAGAAGGTTCAGAGGAGCCAGAGGTCAAAGTTCACTTTTGGAGCAGATGCAGCCACGTGACCCAGCGGGAGCTCAGGGTCGCTCTTTCCTGTGACTGCAGAGCTGGTCCCCTCACACCCTCCCCAGTTCACAAGTCAGAGGAGTTCTGACCTCAGTCCACGTTCCTCCTGACTCTCCTTCACTTCCTGTTCCCCGCAGAGGAGCAGCCGCCCTCTGTAGGGTTAAGCTTCTAGGGTTAAATAGGCCGCTCATAGGGTTAAGCTTCTCTACTCGATACCAGGCTGCCAGCCCGGGCTAGAGCGCTGGGCCTGCCCAACGTGGTGAACCGAGTGGCCGCAGGCCCAGGAGGCGGGCACTCAGGGGCACTGGCAGCCACCACTCTGCGCCCAGGTCCAGAGGGGCGTGCACACGACACGCTCACACACCTGCACGCGTGCAGCCTTCTCTGCCTCGGTGTGCTCCACCCCACCCGCCAATCACACCCACGCACCACCCACCCACCCACTCACGTCTCGGGGCCCCGCGCATGAGGAGGCTGCCTCCGTCGAAGCGGCCGGCTCCCTCATTCGAGATGACCCGCAACCGGGAAGGTGGCAGCGCGCTGACCTCTCTCCCTGTCTGCTCACACAGGTGACCTAGACGGAAAGCGCCTCCGTGAGACATCCCACAAGTAAGCGCCTGAGGGCACGTGCCCACGAGGAGGCCCGCTGTCCACCAGCCACCCTCCCCTCTGGCCGAGCATGGAGGAGACAGCAGCCTGCTCCAGGGCCCCAGCATCGGCACTGCCCTGGTCACCTCGCCCCTCCCTGCTGTCCACAGCCACGTGACCCAGAGGGAGCTCAGGGTGGCACGCCCCCCCCAGCCCCAAGCCCTCTCTCCCTGCCACCAGCTCAGAGGTGGCCCAGGCTCCTGGCTCCGCACCATTTCTTCTGCACCAGGGGGTGTGGCCCCACAGGCCTTGGCAAGCTCTGTGCCCCGTCCCGAGAACCCACTGCCCAACTGCCCAGCAGGTGGCATATGCCACCTGCAGTCACTGCGGGCACAGTGGACTCAGCCACACGGAGGGAGGCGGGCTCTCCCGCAGCTTTCTCCACCCACTCCTGCGGCGAGGGGTCCCCTGCAGGCAGGCCAGGCCAGCTCTGGTCCCCACACCTACTGCGATGAGCACGGCCTAGTCTAAGCCTGAGAGACACGCAGAGACCAAGGAAACCGTGCAGGTCAGGACCCGGGCCGACAGCACAGGGGCAGGTGCCAGCGTCCTGGGGGCTCGGGCTCGGGCTCGTGCTGA